GAACTGTGCACGGTGCTCCGAGTGCGGGTCTAACTGAGGGATACGGAAGGCAGAGCTGCCATGATCTCCATCTCAAGCTTACCATTGTAGAGGTGGGTTTCTGCTTTCTTCATGTATGTCACTGAAAGGGAAACAGATGAAGATCCAAAATGATATTGGTGCTTCCCAGCCAGTAAGGGCCCACCTCATCCCAAACTCAACTAAACCCCCTTCCCATGTCCAAACTCATAACCCATTCCCAGTCACCCATCACCACCACTCCCCGACCGCCTCCTCTAACAGACCCACATCAACTCCCAGTCCAACCACCCCCTCCCTGCCCCTGTAACCCCCCCTCCAGCTCCTACACCCCCTCCCTACCTCCATCGCCCCCTACACACCCTCCCTACCTCCGTCGCCTCCTACACACCCTCCCTACCTCCGTCGCCTCCTTCGACCCAGGCCCTGCTCACTCACCGACAGCCCACACCGTCACGGCCGCTGCTCCCAAGAGGAAGACCATCACCATGGTAACCGCTACCAGCCTGCCAATCGGGCTGCACAGGCCAGAGGCCTTGCCGGGACCAGTTTTGAGGCCAGCTGCAGGAGCGAGCGGGTTCGGAGTTAATTTGGGCAAATTTCGGAGTCCATTCAGCCCATCAAATCTACCCCACGCTTCTGAGAGGTCCTGGCTGATCTGATCCTCAGCTCCACTCTTCCACTTACCCCTCCCCCGCCACCCACCACCTTCCTGAATAAAAGTCTCAGCCTTGACTACACAATGACCCAGCCCCAAACAACACACCTCTGGTAGAGAATTCTATGGATTCACTCCCCTTACAGAGAACAAATTCCCCCTCATCCCAGTGCAAAGGGGTCACACAAAACAATCCATTGGATTTTACAATGTCCAGAGGATGGGGTTGACTCTCTGACCACATCCACCCCTGTATACCATTGAGGGGAGCCAGGCCAGAGACTGTATCCACACCTCATGAGGGCCTACACTGAGGGAGAACCTGACTGATAGAGGGACCATCATAGGGTCATACAGCACAGAAACAGACCCTTCGGCCCAACCAGTCCATGCTGACCATAATCCCAAACTAAACTAGTCCCACCTGCCCATATTCCTCCAAACCTTTCCTATCCATGTCCTTGTCCAAATGTCTTCTAAATGTTGTAACTGTACCCACACCCACCACTTCCTCAGGAAGTTCATTCCACACACAAACCACTCTGTGTAATTAAAT